GCCTGCGCCTGCCACGGCGTCTCCTTCAGCACGAACCAGCAGTTCCCGGCCCACAGCACGAAGTTGAGGAACCCGAAGAGCTGCGAGGAGAGACACCCCCCCCCAACACACACACATCAAACAGAGCGGGGGGCACCCAGGGGTGAGCCCCCGCCACGGGCACCCTGTGTATCCAGTGCGCTCCGTGGGCTTCACGCAAACCATGTGGCCTGCTGGGCGCCCCGTGAACCCCACAAACCCCGTGAACCCGATGAACCCCGTGAACCCCACAAACCCCACGAACCCTGTGAACCCCACAAACCCCATGAACCCAATGAACCCTGTGAACTCCACACAACCCACACACTTTGTGTGCCCCACGCACCCCACGCACCCAATGAACACCACACACCTCATGCACCCCACGTGCCCCACTTCATGCAGCCCATGTGTCCCGCACACCCCATGTTCCCCCTGCACCCCATGCACCTCGTCCTCTCCATGCACCCTGTGCACACCAGGCACCCCACACGCCTCACCCACCCCAAGCGCCCACGCCAGGGGCTGCATCACCACCGCCCACCCCAGCGTGGGGGTCCCCTATGGCTGGGAGGGGTCGTCTCAGTGGTGAGGGGGTGCTCAGGATGGGTCCCACATCCCGGGGGACCAACGCGTAGTTGGCACCGTGGCCACGCAACGCATGTGCGCGCGTTTCCCCCGGCCTCTCCTGGCTGAGCTCCAGAGCCCCATACGCATGTGCATGCACGAGGGCTCACATGCGTGTGTGTCTGCGTGTGCGCATCCATGCATGTTCAGGTATGTCTGTGCCTGCGGGCACGGGGTGTCCGGGTGTGTGTTTTCAGCCAAACGCGCATGTGTGTGGGTGCACATTCACATGCAGGGGTTTGGCAAGCGTGCGCAGGCACACACACACACACATGTGTGGGCACGGGTGTGCACACGCGTGTGCCCCTGCAAGGGCTGGGAGCCGCCGAGCTCTGCTTGAAGCACCATAAATCTCTCCCCCAAGCAAATTAATAAACACCCGTGTGCACATGTGGGTGCCTGTACATACACCCGCGTGTGAACACCCGCGTGTGCTGGCGCCCGGCTCTCACCACGGAGATGTTGGCCAGCCCCATGGCCGGCGTGGTGCCGGCGTTGCAGACCACATCCTGGCCCTGGCAGACCCCCATGGCGGCGATGAGGCTGGCGGGCCGCGTGGCTGCTTTCACGTCGCTGAGCCCCTTGCCCCACGCTGCCGCTGCCACCAGCCAGAAGAAGGCGAAGCAGACGGTGACACAGAAATCCTGCCGGGATGGGGACAGCGGGCTCAGCTCCAGCGGCGCAGGATGTGTGTGTGTGTGTGTGTGTGTCCCCACCCCTCTTAAGGATGCAGCTGCCTTACCGCGAAGGGGAGCTTCTTATTTTCGCTGTAGAGGGAATGAAAGCGCAGGTAAAGCACCAGAGCTGCCATGGTGTAGAGGAAGGAGAAGACCCCCAGGGTCACAAAAAATTCTGCAGGAGCAGAGAAATCGCCGACGAGGTGCAGGGTTTGGGTCTCCGACTCCCCCTCACAGGTCGGCATCTCGAAAGGAATCTGGTATAACCTGGGATGGTGGGAAGGGGATGGTGGGTGGCCCAGGAATGGAGGGAATCACAGAATCCCAGAATCCTCGAGGTTGGAAAAGCCCTTGAAGCTCCTCCAGCCCAACCATGACCTTCACCCTGACCCTTCCCAACTCCCCCAGATCCCTCAGCGCTGGCTCAGCCCGACTCTTCAACCCCCCCAGGGATCCCGGGGACTCCCCCCTGCCCTGGGCAGCCCATTCCAAAGCCCAACAGCCCCTCCTGCACAGAAATCCTTCCTCAGAGCCAGCCTGACCCTGCCCTGGGCAGCTTGAGGCCATTCCCTCGGGGCCTGGCGCTGGGGCCTTGGCTCCAGAGACTCAGCCCCCCTCTCTGCCCCCTCCTGGCAGGGAGTTGCAGAGGGCCAGGAGGTCTCCCCTCAGCCTCCTCTTCTCCAGACTGAACCCCCCCAGTTCCCCCAGCCACTCCCCAGCAGACCTGTGCTCCAGACCCTGCACCAGCCCTGCACCCTTGGGTGCTGCCAACCCGACATAATGGCACTGGGGTGGTCCCCGGGGATGAAGGGGACAGACCCGCTGCTGGGGTGGAACCTGGACCCTTTGCCGTGGGCCGGTGTCCCAGCACGGGACTGGTGGCTGAGGGAAAGGGTTAAAACTGTGGCTCACAGCTGGCCTGGCTCTGTCCTCGATTAACAAGGATCCCCCAGCTGGTGTCGGGAGCCGGAGCCAGGGGATGCCTCACTCTGCTGGGGGTGCAGAGGGTCCCCGCCCGGATACGGCACCTCCCTGGCCGCAGGGACCATGCCTGTGCTCCCATGGGGGTCCCAGCAGCGGGGATGCGGTTTAACCCCAACCCAGCACCCCACATCCCCCCCAGTTTGCTGTGGAGCCATGCTGGGTGCCAGGATGAGTTTCTGGGGGTGGGGGTTTGGCCTTGGTGCCCTCTCACCTGAAGGGGTACCCAAACTGGACGGAAATGGCGCTCATCTCTTTGGTTTCACCACCACAGTTCACCGTCGCCCCGGTCTCGCCGCTGAAGGAGCCGCAGGCCCCAAAGGCAAAGATGGCAAAGAGCTATGGGAGAGGAGCAGTGGGTCAGAGCAGGGAAGGTGCAGGGTGGGGGCTCCAGGGATGCACCCAACGGGGGGTTTGTGCCCCCCGGCGCTGAGTCACGGTGACCACGGCGGTGCAGGGCGAGCTGCCACCCTGCAGCTGTTGGCCTCATGCGCCAGTGCCGGCACCGGGATTTTCAACTGGGGGCAAAACGGGGCAACGGTGGGGGC